ATGTTTTATGCAAGAAAGTTTAATTTTGTGCAGTGCTGCATTTTTCAATGACTAAAATAGTATCTCACCTGGAGTAACTGCTGTTCAGATATCTTATGCTGAGTTAGTGAGCTAATGAATGAATGCACATATTGTCTAGATCTAGCCTTGTCAGAAGACATCTCAAGACCAGGTTTACTTATAGCACTAAAACATCTTTTAACCCACTCAAACATCCACCCCGTAAAGGGTATGCACTAAAAAATAAAGTTTTAAAAAATAAAACTTTTTAAAATGTACACCTTTGACACTTTGACTTGCCAGCAAGAAGGGAGCAAAACACCTTCTAAATAGTTCCTGCTTACACAATTAAAACTACAATGAATTATACTTTTCTCAACAAGCACTATTTAGTTTCAGAGAACATGCTTTTATATGTGCTTTAAATTTTCCAACCAAGTGTGTTCTTTTCCAACATGCACTAAAGCTTGCTATAAAAATTATACATTAATTTAAGGGAATTCAGCAGAACAACTGGATTAGAAAAATAAAATTAATTATTCATGTCACCAGTAGTCTAAAAATACAAAGTGGCTATCAGGAACACGCATACTTATAAGTAACACTGTTATTTTTTAAATAATGAAGCCTCAGTAAAGGTTAATTAATCATTTTAATAAAAATAAAATTTTATTCTTGGGCGTTGCAAAATGTATTTTGTTAATTCTAAATATTTTTCATGGAAAAACACATACACTCTTCTCTTATATTTTTCAAACAAATAGTATTCATTTTTCATGAAAAGCTCTAAAGCTTCCAGGAAGCAATAGCATTACCCAAAATATTAAATACTTTTTCTCACTTGCACACAAATTGGGTTTCTTTTTATAAAAACTTGAATGAATGTCAAGTATCAATGACAGATGTGATGTACACATTTCTCTGATAACATATGTCTATGGGTTTTAACGCTCAATGCTCCTTTTCTTTAAATGGATGTACTGATGTCACCTGAAGAAACTCACACTGGAACCTGAGAATGGACCTAAGACATTCTATCTCCACAGAGTTGTTCTGTCTCTGTCTGTAACATTTTCCCAAGTGTTTGAAATACACCCATCAAATGAAAACAAACGAACAAAAAAACAACAGCAACAACAACAAACCCATAATCTCTCAAAGCATTGCTTTCACTACTTTCTCAAGATTCTTTTGCCACAAAATGATGAAAAGTTTGTGGATTCTAAAATCCAAGTCAACACACTACAATCAAATGCAGCCAAAAATATGCTGAATGAAGTTCATTATTTACTATTCTTAGGAAAATTGATTCTTTCTCAAAGTTATATATAATCATGTGTATGTGTATATATGTGTGTATATATATATATATATATATACATATACATGTGTACATGTATATCTCACAGTACAGTACAGTTTACATACTGAAATAAATGTTTCTGAGAATCAAAAAGAGCTGCTCTCAAAAATTACATCAGAGTAACAGGTAAGCACAGAATTCTCTGAAGCAACTGGGATGTGTGGCTGTCCTATCAAAAAGAAAGGCTAGCATCTATGTTTGTGAAATAAAGAGGAGAGAAACTAAGTAAGCACATCAAGACGAGAGCCAATTAAATTTAAGACCTGAAACGAGCTCCAGAGAGTACTAGAGACTCGTTTACTCCAGAGAGACAGCAACACCAACATGAGGGAGGCTAGTCAGTCCTTCAAGTCATACGACACTAGGCTCCTGCTGTTGACAGTGAAGTCCTGTTTCTGATTTGATATGTTATTTCTATTATACTCTAATTTCCGTGAAAGAAAAATCAATAAGGTTTAAAATTTTATAGTCTGCATATAGTATGTAAAATAATCTTGAAGGGAAAACAGAAAATATTGACCATATGCTACAAGTAATATTGTGTGATTGGGGAGAATAATAATAATGGTCTTAAAACAAACAGCACACTAACAATAAATAAATTAGTTTTTAAAAGAAGAGAAAAAAAAAGGTTAAGATGCTCCATGTTTTCTTTTCAGTCATGTACATATAGATCCATGTGAAAGTACAGGACACAGAAAGTAAAATGTAAAATTTTACAGGAAGGTAAAATTTTTGCATGACTGTTTTCAACATCAAATAGCTCTCCACATTGTAAGAATGAATTGTGCTGATATTTTTCTTTGTGAAAAATAGCTTTATGGGAAGTCAGTAAGCCTTACAGAGACCTGTCCACTTAAGGGTTCTAGTAAAACAAAATATGTAAATGTTATACAACTCATCTAAAAATCTCTCAATAATGTTCTGTTCAGTATTTTTTTTAAAAAGTATTTTTTTCATCTTGGTAGTCATTTCTAATTTTTATTATTCTAAATCCTATAAGCAATATAAAAACTGGTCATCACTATGGATAAAGTTTGATGACAGATGCTTCACCTAATCTTTTATAAGTAAGTAAAGTTTTCAAACTTGAGATTTGTATTACAAATCACTCATTAAATATCTAGGATACTTGTATTATTTTAATCAGTGAAACATTATATATATTGAGATATATCAGTAATGTCTTCATATTAAATTTTGAGATAAAAATTTGAAACAAATTATCCTGTTATTAAAAATAATTCTTTACTTTTAAAACTACTGCTGCCCTTGAAATTTGAATAGCTATGATAGACTCTCTTCATTGGCAACTATCAAGTACTTAAACCCTTTTTCTTTGCGTTAATGTATTTCACAGAATGCTGATATCTTTATATTTGTCTTTCAAATCAGAGTTGTTTGCACCCATATTTTTTATTATACACAGATATTGTTATATACAGATAATACTTCACAAATTACATTTTCCTTCATTTAAATACATGGAAAATTTTTAATTAATTAACGATGATACAAGCTTAGTATAAAAAATACTGAGCTACCTCAAGTTGCGTTTACAGAAACATTTCCAATTCTGAATAATACACTTGAATATTCGTTTTGGAAAAAAAATATGTAAAGGAAATATTTTGAGAGTTATTTTACATTTAATTTTTCTGTTTCATATTTACCTTGGAATGTTAGTCCTTATCAAGTGAACAGCAACAAAATCTTTTTTAAAATTATTTTTAGTTTTATTAATTACAGTTTATCCTCCTGTACCTCCCCCCCCATCCCATCCTCCCTCTTCCCCAACAGTGTCCCTCTCCCAGTTCACTGAAAAGGGAGGACCTCCTCCCCTTCCCTCTGACCCTACCTAGTCTATCAGGTCTCATCAGGACTGGCTGCATTGTCTTCTTCTGTGGCCTGGTAATGCTGCTCCCCCTCAGGGGGATGTGATCAAAAAGCAGGCCAATCAGTTCATCTCCAGTAAAAAGACACAGACTAACACAATGGATGCATAAACAAGACCCAAAAATCTTTTGCATACAAGAAATGAATTCTTAATTAAATATAATTAAAGGCTTTTTAGCAGCATGAGCAAGCATGAATCTGTCTAAAGTCACAAGTCTTTCTCCAAGGAGTTAAATGCTGTGTCGTCAGCAATGGCATAAATATAAGCACAGTACAAATACTCAACAATGTTGTTCTTCCAAGTAAAGATTCCCACTAAAAGTAGTGTCATGATCGTAGGAACTTAGGTGTATGTCCTCATGCCCAGAAAAAACTGCTCATGTGGTCAGTTATCAACAATCAATAAAGCAGTATTAGAGTGTGTCCTATGACACAGCACACTTTGTGGCCAGATGCAAATAAAAAAAGCCAAATGAGATAAAGAAAACAGTGTGTAAATATATTATAAAATATACAATATAGAACTACAACACATTTATAAATTTATATTTCAATATTTGGTCAATTTTCTTCTTCATTTGGTTAAGTGCCTATTTTTTCTATTTCTTATCCATTTCCTGTCATTCCATATTATTCAAAGTAAAAATCAAAACATCTTTTCTTTATCATTGATAGATATCTTAATGACATGATAGAGTACTAAGACAAACAGAACTTGCTTTCTAGTGTTTTCTTTCCAAATCTGATCATCTGTTTCAAACACTTCATCCAAAGCATTTTTAAAAATGTTTGCTGTCATTTGTTTCCCCCTTTGAAATACAGTTTCTTAGATAAGTAAGAATAACATATTGAAAAATCTTTATTTGATACCTACTGAAGACATTCATTATTGAAAGCAAAATAAAGCCACTAATCTTGAATCACAAAAACACAAAATTCTGAAAGAATTAATAAGTGAATATGTACAAAGACTACACATATCAATAAGGACCTCATATCATTTAATATTTCAACAGCATCAATAGCATTTAATTAGTCTTTATCACCATTCTCTGAGGTAATGCCAATGACTAAATCAGCACATCATCTAGTCAATCAATATCTATTTTACTATTGAATTTATAAACTTGAAAATAGTACCAATGTCACATTTAAAAATTGTATTTTTCAAAAGTTGCAGACACAAAATTTAGTAATAAAGTCATTAAAGTAAGTTCCATCTAAGTGTGATTAATTACGTTTCATATAAAACATCTTCACTCGACAGTTTAACTAGTATTTTCACCCTCAAGCAACCAAATGAACACTTTTCTCATAATAAAAATAGATCCATCATTCACCACAAAATCCACACACTTAACCCTTTTATTTTGATGCATTGCTAAGCGTAAAGAAATAAAACCTTTCAAAATGCCATAATTCCCTTGTTTGCTAACCATAAAAAGTAACATTTTTGAATAATTAGCAGATCCCTCCTATGCACCAAAGTTATATAAACAAACTGACATCTAACAAACCAATACAGAGCCTTTTTTGTCTGCAGACTTTTGTCAACAACAAACATACATATCATATTCATTCATGATGGAACATGTACACCATTTTCAAGAAAGACAGGCACATGGGATCAGAAACCAAATCCTGCTTGGAAATGACACATGTGCAAAAAAACAAAAACAAAAAAAAAGGCCACTTTTGAGATCACAGATCCAAAATGAAAGGATGACATGCACGCACTCACCTGGCTGATGGGTTCTTTCGTGGGGGGCTTTCCTCTCCTAGCTGTGCTGGTGGCCAGGGTTGTGGTGGTCTCCATGATTGAGGTGGACATCTCTGACTGCATGGCAGTGGCTGTCGACTCAGTTGTCATAGAGGAAGGCACTTCACCAACCAGCCTCACATTCCCCACTATGGCGATGTTGGCATCGTTCTCTGCTGCCATATTCAGAACTTTCAAGCCATTGTAGTAAAGCCCAGAGAGCTGGCCCTGGAAGGGCTGGCCCTGCTCTTTCCCGCCAATTATTATGGTTGCTTGGCTATTGAAGATTGTGAGCTGACGCCCTGTAAAAATAATATTACATACATGCAAAAATGTTGATTGTAAACTCTACATTCTACAAAGGATGATAAAACAGATCTTTTATGGGGTGGATAATGAGAGCAATAAACTACAAGAGAGGCGTTTGACTCATAATTCATTGCTTAGAAATGAGGTGTCCATGAAATGCATAATTACTGGCAAATACTTATAAAATTTCAACGTATTATAAATGTAGTGCTTTTGCTAAAAGACCAATCAAACTTGAATATTACAAATCAGTTTTTAGTAGATCTCTTTTTCCTTTGCCTCAAGAGCTTATTGTTGGTCTCTCAAATTTAAATTGCTAAATTTAAAGGTATGACAGATCTAACATTTCAAATATTTGTTATCCTGAAATAACCTCTGATATAAACTAATCTGTAAGAGCTAAAGTCTAATTTTAAATTTTATTGTAAAAATTTCATAACTCACATAATGCCCATACATCTCTATGTGCTATTCTTTAGAAATGTTTATTTTTTGGAAGGCAATAATCCATTGTTATTTCAATTATATTTCCTGGCAATCACACTGAAAGGAAATGAATGGCTTACACTGAGCTTGTCAGAAAGAAAGAAAAAAAAGCTTCAAAAATATTTTTCTGATTGGCTTTCAGCAAATCTATCAAAAGAGAACAAAATAAATGAAAAAAAATAGCTTCAGATGTAAAAAGCGGCTTCAGTAATGATACACAAACCAATGGAGAAATCATGGCACATTTCCATCAAACAATCCTAGCAACAGTACCATTATCATCAAATGGAGACTCCCAGGAGAGCAAAGTTCCCTCTGCTCGTAAAGCATGCACACAACTTTAACTTCAGTTTTAGTCAGGGTTTGTTCCCAAATGTTCTCAGAAGCTTGCAAACGTTAAAGGGACTTCATTTTGAATGGCAATTCATATTGCCCTCTATTTAAGATTCCTAGAGTTTAAACAAAGTGTTTTTTTTTTTTTTCAGGACCATGATAAAGATATCCAAACTACATATATTTTAGTTAATAATTTAGAGGCTAGAACATGGATATAATCTACAAATAATTTATCATTTTTGGTTAGTGCTTTCTCTGAGTACCTTCATAGAGTTAGTGGATTATATTTAACAGTCCCTTTAACCTTAAGTTAACTGGGTAAGATTATTAAACCGTTGGTACTTCTAAAAATGTATAGAAATTATTATACAAGGTATGCAAATATTACTATCTACATTTTACTGTTTTAAATTTGTTTTTAATTTAGTTTTACGGAAAATTTAATTTTTATGTTTATTAGTGTTACAATGAAGTACTACTTGGTTATGTTCAAATTATTTTTTTATTTGAAGTTTTAATCAATGTTTTTACCTTTGTCGAGTAGCCATTCATCAACTACTCGACCAAGTCGATATGGAATTCGCTGTCTAGCAATCGCCAGGCGCTCGTTATCATTGTTTCCTTTAAAGTTTAAAGAGACATTTCATTGGTTAAAATCTGTAAGGTCAAAGGTTAAAAGTTAATACTTAAAGCTTGAGCTATACAGTTGCCACATGATTTTTTGAAATTTGGAATTTTAAAAAGTTCTACCTAAAACATTTCATGTTTCAGACTTGTCATTCATTCATTTATTTTATTTTAGCAAACAAAATTATTCCTATGTTAATTGAAAATTAGAAATCTGCATTTGAGCTAGGTTATTAAACTTATGTTATAGACAGACCCGAACAACCAATTTAAACAGCATATAATAGCTTTACAAAATAAATGACCCTTGACCTCAGGGTTTTGTCTTTTTGATGTTTCTTATTAACTAGTTAAACATGTTCAGCTACAACAGGTTTAAGTTTTCAAAATACATTCAACCTCTTATTCCAGATTAGTAATTTATGAACACCAAACTTAACACCATCTTTGGCACACTGAAGCATCACAAATAGGCCTAGCATACTTTATTTCCTATTAAGACAACATATTTCCTTATTCGTTTCATTTAAGAAAACCACAAGGTCCAAACAGTTCTTGTGTATTCCATCAAAACTGGTTCATCAATCACTTGCACATTATAGGAGAATAGATCTCTTATCATCCAAATATGAGTTAGGAAAGGCTTTGACAAAAGTGACATTTATTTGAGTGTCCTTCAGTTTCATTAAAAGCTCAGATGTTGAAGCATACAGCATTTGAAGAAATACTACTTGAGTATTTGTACCCAAATCCCTGCATACTATCAACTTATTCTCTTTTAAAAGGTGTAAGAGCTTAATGTACAATGAAGCTGCAAACAAAGACTCTTAGCCACAAATCTGAACTAAGTGAAAGTCTTGCTTCTCTGAATAGAAAACATTGTCTGCTAGAAACACTGGATGTTTTGACCTTGAAACAAGCTTACCAGTAGATGAGTGTTTTCTTGATCAAGAAATCACTTAGGAAGTCAGGGCTGCTGTCAGTGCTCAGGAATATATATTAAAGGAAGAATTTTTCTATTTCATGAAAATTAAATAGAATTTGGAGCTGAGGCATTTTGTCAATAGCTTGAGTGAGGATTAATAGTTAAAAGAAAACTTAAATTATAGTGTTGCCTATATTGGAAGCCTGAAGTATTTGGCCAGAGAATAAAACAGACATACCATTCTCTCAGATTTGTAATTATTTATAAGGGGCTTTCACTTTTTGTGCTAATGTTCTGAAGTATTATACTTACCATAATAAGTCTACCTTAACATAACTCATGCACATTTGGAGAAGGATGAAAGAGCTACCATTTGGAGCATCTCAATGTGTTGTTCAAATGTGTATGTGACCAAAACGTTTTCACATGTTAATATTCAATTTAAAATAAAACAAGGTTGAACTATATACATTTAATGAAAATATCGAGTTGTACTTCTCTGGATCATGTAATCGTTTAAACGTTGTAAAGTTGTAGTTTATAATATATTCTTGATAAACTGATAATGTTAAAAAGTGACATACCCTAATTTCTTTCTCAGCTTTTTGATCACCTCCCCCTAAGGGGGGAGCAGCCTTAACAGGCCACAGAGAAAAACAATGCAACCACTCCTGATGAAACCTGATAGAGTAGAATCAGAAGAAAGGGGAGGAGGACCTCCCTTATCAGTGGACTGTGGGAGGGCATGGGTGGAGAAGAGGGAAAGTAGGTGGTATTGGGAAGCGAGGAGGGAGGAAGCTACAGGTGGGAAACAAAGTGAATAAACTGTAATTAGTAAAAATATAAAGATAAAACGGAAAAGAAAAAATGATATACATAGCAAAACATTCCAACTCTATTTTTTTATTTATTTTTTATTGGTTGTTACTATTATTTACATTTTATCAACTCTGCATCCCAGCTGCATCCCGCTCCCCCATTCCCTCCCAATCACACCCTCCCTCCCTCATCTTCTCCCTGCCCCTTTCCAAGTCCACGGACTGGGGAGGACCTCCTTCCCTTTCGTCTGGCCTTGTTTTATCAGGTATCTTCAGGGTTGGCTGCGAAGTCTTTCTCTGTGGCCTAGCAGAACTGCTCCTCCCTTGGGGGGTGGGGAGTCAAAGAGCCTGCCATTGAGTTCCTGTCAGAGATAGTCCCTGTTTCCCCTACTACGGGAAACCAATTGGTTATTGAACTACCACAAGCTTCTTCCGAGTAAAGATTCTAGGTTATATCCATACATGATCCTTGGTTGGAGAAACAGTTTCAGAAAAAAACCCTGTGCCCAGATATATTTGGTCCTTGTGGGGCTCCTATCCTTTCCCTGTCATACTAATTCCCCTGCCGAAGGTTTGGTTATGAGTCTTAGTATCTGTTTTGAAATGCTGCTTGGTAGGATCATTCAGATGCCAACTCTATTTTTAAAATGTGTTCATACTTTGAGTGTGATTGAATATGTGCTTCTTAGATACATGCAAAACCTTAATATTTTCTGTCCAAGGTCAATGTGACTATTGAAGTATGTGATTTTGTGTAATAATTAGGTTTTTTACATGCTTAATCCAAAACACATCAACTAATACTTAAGCACAGCATGAATAAATATGTTACCATTGCCTTTAGGACCAAATCTTGGCCCATTATGATATCCCTGTATCCTCTCAGGTCCTTTACTACACCCACTGCTTCATCTCACTGGCTCTCCTTTGAGGTTTTCTTCAATTCTCCTAAAGCTCTTCTTTCCTCCCTCTGGGATTTTTCATCTGGAGTTTTTCTCATGTGAGACACTCTCCCCTGCCTATCTCATCCTTATCTTCTCTAGCCAACCATCATTCATTAATGGAATGTTCTTATCAAAAACATTGTTTCTGTGGGAGGCAGTCCATGATACATTCAAGTTAAAATATCAGACTGCATACTTCATGGCTCTTGAAACACAATCCTTAGAAATAAGCATTAGCCTTAAAAACTACCTATTTAATTAATATTTTTCCTTGTAATATTTCAACACCATAAAGTCAGGGACTTTATGTGGTATTTACTATATCTCCAGTGTTTTCACAATGCCTAACACACAAAGTCCTATCCTATATCTGTACAATGAAATAAAGAAAACAATTTTCTTTCTAGTTCTCTTTTATGGATTAACACTCCTATACACACACAAATTTGTTATTTAAAATGTGCCCAATGTCATTAAACAAGAACTCACAGCTTTCAGTGGTATATGAAGGTTAGAAGGAAGATCTCAGATAAGAAAATAAATGGCATATTCTTTTATAGTGAAAAGAACCCTTGAAATATGTGAATACATAAAACTTGTCCTTATATCTTTAACTGAATCTATTAGTAGTAATATAATTGATATGACCTGACTGATCTCAATATTTGTTTGAGAAGATGCTTGAGATTTAACTAAAATAACACAAACACTGCTTATGAGTGAACACCTCAGGTCAACTAATGACATTGAAAATAAAAATAATGATAATAGGAGCAGGGAACATCTCTGACATGAACTCAAGAGCTGGCTCTTTGATCACCTCCACCTGAGAGGAGAGAAGCCTTGCCAAGCCACAGAGGAAGACAGTAAAGCCACTCCTGATGAGACCTGATAGACTAAGGTCAGATGGAAGGGGAGGAAGACCTCTCTTATCACTGAATTGTGGAAGGGGCATAAGAGAAGAAGGAGGAAGGGTGGGATTGGGAGAGGATGGAGGAGGGGACTACAGCTGGGATACAAAATGAATAAAATGTAATTAATAAAAATAAATTAAAATAAGGAAAAAACTCTTTAGTAATGCTATCAAAACATCAGAAGAAGTAACCATCTCAACTTTATATACTGACTTCTCTTCAGTATTTAGTTACTTCAAAACTGTTATTCCATTGGAAAAAATAAAGAAAAGAAAATAATGTGCCAATAAAGAAGGTAGTACAGGAACTGGACACAGCAGCACATGCCTGTAATCTCAGCACCAGGGAGGCAGAGGCAAGCAGATCTCTGTGCGTTCAAGGCCAACCTGGTCTACAAAATGAGTCCGGGATAGCCAAGGCTACACAAAGAATTCTTGAAAGAAAAAAAAAAACAAATAAACAAACAAAAATAAAGTAGTGAAGATAGGAGTGAAAATGTAAGATAATTTGTAAGATTGGAAGCCAAATAGAGGAGGTCATAAGCTCCATAGTCCTAAAGGTCAAATGCCCGTTATTTCATGTAGCATCTTTCCTAATAAAGATGAGCTGAATCCAAATGACATGTCATTTTTTGTAACTGTAATAGGTGGAATATCAGATGGTATTTACAGTGTGTATATATATATATATAAATTTTTTGTTTTATTTAATCTTAATCATTGTAAAACTTCTGTTTAGACCTTACATGCAATATAAAGAACATAAAACATATTTTTAAAATTCTATGAACACATACAAATTCCAATATCTTTTTATATATTTGTTTTTAAAGGAAATATTTGGTATGCAATACAAATGATGTAAAAACACTACATAAATCATCTATGGATAGTGAGAGAAAACCAACATAGAACAACATCTGTACTACAACTTCAGATCGGGGATGGAGATACTTCCAGATGATCTGTTGTTGTACAGGATTGTTTTAGAGATTCTGGGTTTTTTGTTTCTCCATATGAAGCTGAGAATCTTTTTTTTCAAGGTCTGTAAATAATTGAGTTGGTATTTTGATGGGAATTGCATTGAATCTATAGATTGCTTTTGGCAGGATGGCCATTTTCACAATGTTAATCCTACCAATCCATGAGCACGGGAGATCTTTATCTTCTGATATATTCTTCAATTTCTTTCTTCAGAGACTTGAAGTTTTTCTCAAACAGGTCTTTCACTTGCTTGGTTAGTGTCACCCCAAGGTACTTTATGTTATTAGTGGCTATTGTGAAGGGTGTTGTTTCCCTAATTTCTTTCTCGGCCCTATTGTCTTTGGTATACAGGAGGGCTTCTGATTTTTTTGAGTTGATTTTGTATCCTGACACTTTGCTGAAGGTGTTTA